TGACTGTAGTGCGGTGTGTGATCTCAGATATTTTATGGAATGTTGGTGGCAATGGACAGTTTACCAGACACTGGTGACTTTGGTGAGTTTCCAGAATATGTATGAGATATGTCAATAGCAAATAATTTTTGTATTTAAATTTTTTGTACTGATTTGAAAAAAATATCTTATTAAATATCTAAAAAAAAAAAGTTTCCTTTTATTAACAGAACGACTAGAAAGAAAGTTTGAAGCACCAAATTCGCATTTTGGAGCACAAGGACACTCAGAATCTATTAAAAACAAACCAGTGTGAATGATGATCTACAAAGGACATTCTTTTTTTGCAGAGCTTGCTATTAATCCATATTGCAAAGAAACCAATGTAATCGCTGAGCATTTACCAATAGATGGTGCCTCTAGAATCCTGAATGTGCTAATATGCAAATATCACTCTGAGAAAACACCACTGGCATTTCTACATAGGCCTTAATCCTGCATGACCTTGCTTGATGCACAGCAGTGTGTGGTGGGTGTTGTGGAGGCTCAGAGAGAGAGAGAGAGAGAGAGTGAGTTTAAGCATAGTTCTCCTCACCAACCAGTACTATGTACCTTGCTTGAAAACACAGGTTGAAAAAAGAGTGGAGCATAGGAAGAGAGGGGATGTGCCTTGAGAGAGACAAGCTTAAGTATGATCCTCATCATTCTGGGTGGGCAATTAGTGACAGTCTCCTTTTAAGCTTTGAACCTACCAATAGGCATAAATATACTGTGGGCTGCACAGCATGCTGCTGAAGATGGGCCATCAGATTGGGTGTCAGGAGATCTGAATTCTGTTCCCAGATCTGCCATTGTAGAACAGAGAAGTTTAGTCACCCAACTGGCATGGAGTGGGAAACAATCCAATACTGAAATAGACCAGTAGCAGATCCCTGGTTCCTTGATTGCTCAGACAGAGACCAGAGAACAAATTTTTAATTCTCACAGACCATTAACTCATGTGCTCTTGGGGCAAGGCAGCCCCTTACTCATGGCAAAATGTAATGTCACAATCTAGCACAAAACGTCAAAACTAAAACGAATGGGTCCACATATTCATTCATGGTGGATTTTTTCTTCTTTTTGATCACTGGGCCACACTCAGAATCCCTAAAACCACAAACTGAAGAAAGGGCTTTTTCTTTTCCAAACTCAAATTCATGGGGAAAAAGTGAGAAAAAACGAACAGCACTGAAGCATTAAACCATATGTTCTTTAGTATTTCTCTCTGTGCTTTTCCTCTGAAGTCTCTCATGAGCTTCCTCTTTCCTCAAGCTCTTCCTATTGAGCTCCCAGACACTACTCATGAACAAGATTAAAAACCCACGAAAAATTGCCTCTAAGAGAATTTTTTTCTTTGACACAATTTATCATCACCAACCGTGACAAGATTTTGCTTTTGCTCAGCATAGAGTAATTTGAAACCTGATTTGCAAAAAGTGTCATTCTTCCCAAAAAAGAGTGATTTTGCCCTGCCCTTCAATTTTGAGAAAGCAAAAGCCGCCAGTTCTGATAGAATGTATCATTTTTGCACTATGCTACAGCTCATGTTAAAGTAACATGGATGGCACTTTCCCTCCCCGTTTCTCTACCTACCACCATAGAAACTTGACATCTCTTGTTAAATTAAATGTGTCAACTGAACGGCAATGATAGATCCACTATACATCATTTATATAGTGCTGTAATGAGGTCTAGCACTGTGATTTGCTAAAATTTATCCTTAAAACAGATTTATTATATGGAAAATAATCTGACAATATTCAAAACGCCACTTAAAACACCTGTTAACAGCCAATGACTGTCAAAATAAAGTTTGTATTAAAAGGCACATAAATATCAAGCCAAACAGCAAATGAAATCAAATATTTACTTAAACCAGAAAAACAAAACATTGATTTTCACATATTCTTAAAATTATACACTTTATTTAAACACAAACAGACACACAAACAACACCCCTGCTCCCATATTTTAGGTTAAGAAAATATTTAAAGGGGTATTTGAAAAAAGATAAGTATACTATTTGTGTACATAACATAACAAGACACGTCACATAATTATTAAACCCTTCTTGTCATTCCAAAATAGGAACAATACATTTTCATTTGAAATGTAATCTACAGATGTGCATTAAACACTCACAGATTCATCCTTAGTGCATTAATCTGTAACTTGCCTTTTAGTTATATCTGAGAATTGCCCTTAATTGTTACAGTTGAAGAAATTAAGATAACTTTCACAACAGAGCAACCTCAGTCCATTGCTTTAAGAATCTTCCCCAAAGGCCACTGAAGACTCTCATTGACTTCAGTGGTGTTTTGACTGGGGCCTTAAAGCAAATGGACTATTGCAGCTGACAGAAGGAAAACGGAAAGAAATGTATTAATATTCGGCACAGTTATGCTGGCACTGTACATGGAAGTACAGCTTGCAGTACCCTGGAATTCGTACACTGAAGACTTCAACTTGTGCTGCTGCAGATATCAAATTAAAAAGCAGCTTTCAATAGAGTGGCCCATTGTAGATTCTGTACCCTCTAGACCAAATAAGAATGAAAGCAAATCTTAGAAAAAGATCCTGCTCTAGTTGCTCAATTTATTTTTAAAAAGAAAACTCTCAAGGCAAGTTGGAATAACAGTGGCACAGGATGACCTTAAAAATGAGTGCTATATTTAAAACAGACACCGTGATTCTGATTCTCCACTACCTAGCACCTTGTGTATTTACACCTGTGCAACATGGGTGCAAAATGCTACTATTCTGATTTGAAATCACGTTGTATCAGTATTCCCTGGGTGTAAATGACTACACAGGGTACATGGCAGTGGAGAAACAGGTCCAGTGTATACAGAATTCTATAAAGCCTGCATTATGCTACCAAAAAAATTGTTGTAATAATTATTTCACTGCTTAGTATCAAAGATAAAATTACTTACCCATAAATGATGCTTTCTGAAGACAGTACCCTCTGCTCTATGTATGTAGCATTCAGAGCATGTATTAGGGGTGCTTTGAAAGCTTAACTTTGTTCTCTTTGCATTCCCTCACTACCATCTCCCCCTTCCCAGTTGTCACCATTTGGTGATGTGTGTATAGTTTAGGTGAATAACGAGACTGTCACAAACCCCAATTGTCAGCTCTTTTGGCTGACACCTACCCATAACTCTTTACTATGTCTCCAAACAAACAAAAAACCTTGTGACAGGAACTTAAGAAAAGATGTAGGTGGATGAGAGTAGATTTATGGACGATACCAATTTGGAGAACAAGTATAGATGACGAACTAATCACTTCTCCAAAGCTGTGTGTTGCTACATCCCTTCTTCAATGAGGAAGAAGGTGGAGAGGAAAGGAAAGAGAAATGACAAAGATAAATATCAAGGTACTCTCAAAAGGAGAGGGAAAATTATATAGCTAATTTTGGAAAGCGATCCTGTAATACTGTCATACTAAACGTTGACACTTTGATACAGTTGGACATTTTGGTGCAAGTCTTTACTGCCTACATTCTGCCAGAATGTAACGGGTTCTATACAGATACTTCAGAGACCTCATGTAGTTGTACCAGCATGAGGCTGCCACGTTCCTAGTTTGGTAAGGTAGAATTTTCACTTTTGGCCTAACTCTCCTTCCACTGAAGTGGGAGTTTTACCAATGTCTTCAAGGGCAGCAGAGTTAGGGCAACGCTGATGCTGAGTGCTTTTTGAAAGCCGCACATGTAGTAATTACATAAAAACCTCTCTCAACAGCACTAGACACAAAAAAATAATGACTGTAGTTCTGATGCAACTTCCTCATGGTTTTCTTTCCACACAGACAAGCCTTTTAAATTAATTGAAATAAATGCTAGCCAGTTTCAAGAGGTCTTGTGAAAAATAATGTATCAATTTGCGTAAGGGCCTAAAAATGATGGCAGTGTGGAGATGAGAAAAATAGTGGAAACATGATTAACGGAGCAAGAGCCTCAATATCACCTGCTAAAGACATTTGGAATTACTCAAAATCATCGTGTCCTTACAAAATGTAGTATGATGTGGCCTCACTAGAGCCTAAACCTGACTAATCCAACAAGCTTATCTGAGACCATCAGGGATAAAAAAAATTATAGCACTCATTAGAACCAAGCAGCTTTAAAAAAAAAAAAAAAAAAAAAAGAGAGAGAGAGAGGGAGAGACTTTTTTTTTTTTTTTTAAATAATTGTAACAATTCTGACAGACAGAAATGGAAAATGGGTAATAGAAAATCTTTGACCACTTCACTCTAATCTAAACCAGGTATTTGTTTACTTTTACATTTATGATGCTAGGAAATTGTGGTCAATACTCTATAGCAAGATTCAGTCTTTTGCTTCATGCCCTCATTTCTGAAGAACACAATCCTGCGGTCCTAGTTTGTTAGATTAATCTCTGTTCAAATTAATATATACTGCTGTGGAATATTGGATTATTTTATCTACTTTCAAAATTCTTTTGAAGCATACTTCTTTGTGATTTTCTGATTCCTAGAAGATTGATCAATTGACCACAGAGTTTTAAAACATACCTTTCATGACTAATGTACCTTATAGGATGATTAGAATGGAATTTTACATTGCCACTTAGACCTTCATAGGTCCTGGTGACATTCTCAAGCAGATTTCATTTAGAGCTACCATGGACTTCTCTGAGACAACTGATTCACAATATATGACCATCCCACCAAATCTCTTATAGTTAAAGATCCTGAGTAAAAAAATTCAAAAGACCCTAAGTGACTTAGAGGTCTAGGCCCCATTTTCAGAATGACTTAGGCACTTAGGAGTTTGGATTTAGGGTCCAAAGTACCTAAATCACTTTTGAAAACAGGGTTTAGTCTCCTAAATCATTTAGGTGCTTTTGAAACTGTTACCCTCTCTCTCTCACACACACACACACACACACTCTCTCTCTCCACCCCACCCCCCAAAACTCAAGAGAACAGGAAAAAAGAAAAGGAAAGGAATTGCCAGATAAAAACAAAATTGTAACTCCCAGAATTGGTCAATGTGTGTCTCAGATGCTGCCTTGCTCACAATATAGAAGATAATTGGTACATGTGATGATCTGTTGGTGCTCTTGAAACCCTTCACAGTTACCTGTTATGGTGAGGGGAACTGTGCTAAGGGGAACTGTGCTGTTTTGGAAAATAGATCTTCATCTTTGGGAGAATAAGAAGTATCAAGGCCTCTGGAATGTGTGTGTTGGAGGGGGGGGGGCGAAATCTATGCATCAAAGACATTTTGTTTGAAATAAATTTTAATTTACAAACTCAAGATTCTAGTTCATATTCATTGGGGAGTTCTGGTTGTGAATGCATCTTAAAGTGGTCAATACTGCACAGTGGTGCCAAGACAACTCAAATGTTTAAAAAACTCTTCTATAATTCCACAGTTTAAAGGAGATCGTGCTTACCTCTTAAAAATGAATTCAGGTGCTTGTGAAATAAATCAGACTGACAGCACTGAGAACAAATGTATCCATAAATTAGATACAGCACGAGCAGCATCAATCCAGACTTCCCCACACTGTTATACCAGTGGGTCTCCAACCCAAGTGTACACATGCTAAATCCAGGAGTCCATGGGCAGTTCAGTCTGGGGCCTCTTTGTTGAGACAGACAACAAGAAAACACCAGCCTGTGTGAATTATGAAGGTGATTTTCTATGATATGGACATCTGCCCAGGTGGATTGAGACTAAAAATGCACTTTATATACTGTACAGCTACTAGACACCCTTCAGATAGTAATGATTTGCAGATACACTTATCCCAAACTGTTTTCAAACCAGAACAGAGAGGTGAAAGACTTTGTATCCCTTTATCAATTATCTCATAGCCTTCCAAGTCTCTGGGCAACAGGAAAGGAAGATACAGAAAAGAAATCAGTTGTTGAAAAATGTTCTTATTGTTAAATAAATGGTGTGCATCATATTTTTATATATCCCTGATATTTTTTAGCTGAAGGTTGTATTTTTTCATAATTAAATAGATTCACAGAAATCAGTTCACTCTAGTTGTGTGCCCCGAGATAGCGACAATCATCATCAGTCTTAGACAGTGGAACTCTGCTACCACCACCTTTGTGAGGCATCTGTGCTTCTTTTAAATATTTCTGTAACTGATATGGCATTTAAAAAATAAAAATACAGTACAAAAAATAAAATCTATCTTGTTGAAAATAGCGATCACTCTTCCATTGTCTATTCAGTCTCATGTCAAGCTGACCACAAACTGCTTATCTATAAGCGACTTCAAAAACTTTTGCTCAGCAATGATGTTGTGGTATCCATTCTAAAGGGGGGGGGGGGGAACAAGACAAAATCAAATTGTTACTGCAAGCAACAAAGATACACTCTTTTCCATGAATCCAATGGGTTACTTAGACAATACTATAGCCAGAATCTTTTGTGGAACGGACTCATACACTTATAGGCAATGCCTACTCTGCACACCATTAGTGACAGCATATAGTGTACAGGTAGCTACACGCTGCAGTGAAAAGCAGGCTACGTCCACACTGCAGCGCATAGCTACATGTCAGTGAAAGGCTCTGGCAGGGGGAGGCAGCAGGGAAAGTCCTCCCCCTGCCAGAGCCTTTCCCCACTGGCAGAGTCTTTACATATGACAGTAAAAGGCCCGAGCAGAGGGACACTACATTGCTAAAAAACAGCAGTGTAGATAGGGAGACCCACCTTGGGCAAGTAGAGAGCTATGTACAGTATGTACTCAGGTGTGTCCGTACTATACCTGGCCTGCCTAAACTGTCCCTCACTGGCTACACTGCTATGTATACCCTTGCTGGGGTGCAACCTGTGTATGTACTCTACAGCCACTGAAAGAAGCGTGCAGTGTGGATATATCCAAAGGCTGAGGAATAGCCTCCCCAGGGAAGTGATGGAAGTCAAAACCAGACTAGACCCATATTAGAAACTATACTGCAGGGAATAATCTATCAGTGGCAGAGAGATGGACTGGGTGTGACCTCAGAGGCCTCTTCCATTACTAACTTCCAGGATTCCAGACCATGCTTATATGAAATATAAATCTAAACATTTAGAAAACTTCTTTCTACATAAAGAATTGGAAAAGAATTTATTTTTAAAGCTCCACCTGATTTCATGAATTGTGCACATAGGAATTTTTGGCTGGTCTGTGTCCTGTCAATCAGTCTCTAGCCAATACATCAAAAACAGCCCCTCCCTCCAAATTCCAATCTATCTCCTCTTCCTCGGCCCCAATCCAAAGCCTATTGAAGTAAACGGAAGTCTTTTCACTGACTTCAATGTGTTTTGGATCAGGCCCAAACCTGCCAAATCCTGTGGGGACAGACTAGGGGTTTTCTGACCCTTCTGTGTGTCTGTGGAAAAACTCCACCTAGGGAAATCCTCAACTGATTGGACATCTGTTTTTCCTCATTCCCTGCCTCTTGTACAGCAGCAGCTAACACTGCCCCTGTCAAGCAGAGCTCTCCCCGTCTCCTCAGGAGCAAACAGAAAATTTCAGATAGGGCAGAATGTAGAGCAGGGGCGGGCAAACTTTTTGGCCTGAGGGCCGCATCGGGTTTCAGAAATTGTATGGAGGGCCGGTTAGGGGAGGCTGTGCCTCCCCAAACAGCCAGGCGTCGCCTGGCGCCCCCCGCACCCATTCACCCCCCCCATTCCCCGCCCTCTGACCGCCCCGACCCCATCCACACCCCCACCCCTGACCACCACCCCAAACTCCCCTGCCCTCTACCCAACCCCACCTGCTCCCTGCCTCCTTACCGCGCTGCCTGGAGCACCGGTGGTTGGCGGCGCTACAGCCACGCCGCCCGGCTGGAGCCAGCCACACCACCGCGCAACAGAGAGCACCGGGTCAGGCCGGGCTCTGCAGTTGCGCTGCCCGGCTGCCCAGAGCATTGCGCCGGCAGCGCAGCGCACTGAGGCTGCAGGGGAGGGGGAAAAGCTGTGGATGGGCCGGGGGCGAGCCTCCCGGGGCAGGAGCTCAGGGGCCGGGCAGGAGGGTCCCGTGGGCCGGATGTGGCCTGTAGTTTGCCCACCTCTGGTGTAGAGGAAAGTAGCTGCTGGCCCAAATAATTTCCACAAGAGGGCAGGAAGGAGCAGAAAAAACCCAAGTAGCTCAAGGCCAGCTCTGCTGTCTCCTCCCATCAAGCAAAAATTGTGTGGGTCTGCTTCTTGGTTCCTTCTGACAGAAACCTGCCTGGCAGGAAAGTTTTGAAATCTGCCTCTCTTCCATTGGAAAATTTGTTGAAGCCTAATTTTCTTCTCTGACATGGTTCCTGGACTACTGCTTAGGGGGGAAGCAGTAAACCCCCTCTGAAGCACCTGGCATTGGCCACTGTCAGAAGACAGAATACTGGGCTAGATTGACCTTTGGTCTGATCCAGTATGGCCATTCTTATGATGTGATATATCTTGATTTTGGTAAGGCTTTGACACAGTCCCACATGACATTTCCATAAGTTAAACTAGGGAAATGTGATCTAGATGACATCTACTATAAGGTGGATGCACAATTGTTTGAAAGCCATACTCGAAGAATAGTTATAAATGGTTCGCTGTCAAACTGGGAGGGTGTATCTAGTAGGGTCTCACAGGTGTCGGTCTTGGTTCCATTCAATATTTTCATTAATGAGTTGGATATGGAATGGAGAGTGTGGTTATAAAATGAGTAGATGACACCAAGCTGGGAGGGGTTGCAATCACTTTAGAGAACAGGATTAGAATTCAAAACAACCTTGACAAATTGGGGAATTGGTCTGAAATCAACAAGATGAAATTTCATAAAGACAAGGGCACAGTACTAAACTTAGGAAAACAAAATCAAATGCACAACTACAAAATGGGGAATAACTGGCTAGGTGATAGTACTGCTGAAAAGGATCTGGGGGTTACAGTGGATCACAAGTTGATGTGAGCCAGGAGTCATTCTGGTTGCACCCCTGATATGAGCCAAAAATGTGATGTAGTTGTGAAAATGGTGAATATTGTTCAGGGGTGTATTAACAGGAGCATTATATGGAAGACCTGAGGTAACTGTCCCACTCTATTCTGCACTTGTGAGATCCCCACTAAAGTACTGTGTCCAATTCAGGGTGCTACACTTTAAGAAAGATGTGGTCGAATTGGAATGAGTCTAGAGGAAAGCAACAAAAATGATACAAGGTTCAGAAAACCTGACCTATGAGGAAAGGTTAAAAAACCCGGGCATGTTTAGTCTTGAGAAAAGAAGACCGAGGGGGACCTAATAGTCTTCAAATGCATTAGGGGCTGTTATAAGGAGGATGGAGATCAATTGTTCTTATCTACCTTCCTGGGACATGGAGAAGCAATGGGCTTAATCTGCAGTAAGGGAGATTTAAATTAGACTTTGGAAGAATGCTCTAACCATAAGGGTCATTAAAGACGAATAGGTTACCAAGGGAGGTTGTGGAATCCCCATCATTGAAGGTTTTTAAGAACAGGTTAGAGAAACACCTATCCAGGATGGTCTAGGTAGGTTTACTTGGTTCTGGCTCAGTGTGGGGAGATGGACGAGGTGACCTCTCAAGTCCCTCCCAGCCCTACATTTCTATGATTCTATGAAATAGACATATTTCTGCAGAATGTGTCAGTTTTGATGAATTGGCATTTTCCACCAGAAAAACATTCCATTGGAAAACTTCTGACCAGCTCCACCCATTTTACAGAAGGGGAAACTGAGGCAGGGTAAAGTGATTTGCCTAACACCAAAAAACCAATCAGTACTAGAGCCAGGAATAGAACTCAAGACATTCTGACTCCTAAACCATGCTCATTCTTTCAGATCATTGTGTCTCCCAACTTATTAGCACAAGACTATTTTTCTCTAAGCATTTCCCATAAAAGAAAATAGTACATTACCTCAATCATCTCAGACATGGTCTCATTGCCATAATAGTGCAAAGAACTGTTTCGGTCAGTGAAGTTGTACTTAAAGCCTGCCACGTGAACTTCATTGCATATGTGAAATGCCAGTGTGATGGCAATTAGCCCTGTTGTAGGATGTTTGGGTTTCTAAAAGCACAAACAAACAAATATAATTGTCATCTTGATATAAGGAGACAAACCCAAGAGTGGGGGTTTTAACAACAACATAAAACCCACTAATGACTCTGCAGTACTAAAAAGTTGGCAACATTGCTAAAAGTAGCTCTGAGTTTTCTCAGAGCTGGAAATTTCAGAAAGAAAGAAAAAAATATTTCTTCTGGAAGAAAAATAGTCAAGAGTGATGAAATTGTTTATGTTCCTCCCTCTAGAAGTAGACCCAGCAATATATATACACACCATATAAGCCAAAACATCACTTTGTACATTAAAGATAATTATGAGCAGTGTCCAGTTTTTAATTCTGAAGAGCCAATTAAAATGTATTACCAGAGCAGAGGAAGACTATGTGAATATTCAATTTGTTGTTACTACTGGATCTATCTGATGATCCATTGCAGTGGTCTCCAACCTTTTTACGCCCAAGATCACTTTTTGAATTTAAGGGCAACCCAGGATCTACTCCACCCCTTCCCCAAAACCCTGCCCTGCTCACTCCACCCCCCACTCTCTCCGTCGCTCACTCTCCCCCACCCTCACTCACTTTCACCAGGCTGGGGTAGGAGGTTGGGGTTCAGGAGGGGGTGCGGACTCTCGGCTGAGGCCAAGGGGTTCGCAGTGTGGGAGGGGGCGCTGGGCTGAGCCTGGGGCAGGGGGTTGGGATGCAGGAGGAGGTGCTGGATCAATCCTGCATAGGCAGGGAGAGGGACTGGACAACGTAATAGATAGATGGATCTTTCCATCCCTTATTTCTATGAAACTGGCTTCTGAGGACTGGAAGAGAGACCTTAAGCTCATACAGATAGGGCCAAAAATATTTTTCATTAGTACATCATATTGAGATATTCTGATTTCCTAAACATTTGGTTCAGAGGAGTGAAGAATTCTTACTTTATAACACTTCACATTTGTAGAACATTGCCACAAAGTTTGATAGGTTTATCATAAAAATGCCATGTAAGAGTAAACATGCCCCATAAGGGCTTTAATATTCAGTTCTTTTGTAAGTGGAAATCAGAATCAGAGAACAGAACCATTATCTACGTGGAACTTTATCAAGTTACAGTATACTCTGAAAATAATAATAATTTACAATACACAAAGTGGTTGCCTCATGGTCCTGCAAATAAACAAAATAACTTTCTGCCTCCGGGCATTTAGATCATGAGTTTAGTGGTAAGACTCAAATCCCTCTGTCATTCACATCTGAAATTTCCCATACCCTTTAGTGCAATGGTCACAATGTTTGTTCTGGAGAGGTCCAAGACAGGCATGGCAGGTATGTTGTAAATCAGGAATGAAGTGAATTGATGGATGTATGGAGAATCTTACATAGAACTTGACTATACTATACCTCACTCTATCTTTGACTTTCATGATCACCAAATGCACACAACATGAGTTAAACTTATAAAATATACTCTCATCTCCCAACAGTTTCACAGCAGCACAACAACCAGTAATATTTAGCTGTAAAACAAGACAACCCTCCAACAAGTAAAACTATTTCTGTGGATTTTGCTGAGCTAAAGTTTTGTCAATTAAATACTGATCTGGTCAGGCTCAGAATTTGAACAAACATAAAAAAACGGTCATCAGCTGTTAAGAAAATTCTCTCTAGATTCTAGACCCCTTTTAGCATAGTCCATTCTGAGAGCCAGACATTTAACAGGAATAGGCATGGCTTATGAATGACCTGGTAATATTTTAGCATTGCTGCTGACAAGGCAGCTATACAGGGGAGCACATATGGTTTTATAATTGCTACTTCTAGAACTGTTGTGTGCAATGCTAATAAACACAGAAGTATATGACATTGTGCTGGAATATGAACAAAAAGAGGGACAGCAATGTTGGCATAATGGAAAAGATCAAAACTGGATGGAAAAGAAACATTACTGTTCAACATGTATATTCACAAAAAAGGGATTGAAAAACTTAAAAACTATGACCTGGATTGCTCCTTCTCCTGCAGGAGAGGGCCTGGTGGATGCAAGACTCCATGAGGAGCTCCTCAAGAATTTTCCTTGGATCACTCTCTCAGGGATGAAACATGGGGGTGTTTACACTCTTACCGCCCTCCTCCCATGGAACAGAAAACAAGTTGGTCCCCAGAACTAATGCTGCCCTTTGGGAGCCATGTGAGACTGCCCCTTCTTGGAGTGGCTCTATGCCTCTACCGTTAAGTCAATCACAATGCTCTGCCCCAATTTGCAAAGCTACCACTTGATGGCACTCCTTCCACTAGAATGCTAAGAGGCTGTTGGAAGAGGATAGAATGTATGCAGGAGCCCACTAAGGAATGATAGCCCCCAAATTCAGAGGGCCTTGTTATAAATTACAAATATATTTCATCATTAAAAACAATGTTTGAACAACAAAACCATGAATCTGGGTTCTGTATCTGCTTCCCTGGTTAAACGTCTTTCTTTTTCCTGGGTTTGACACTCCTCAGACTTCTATGCCAGTACCCAGTCTTAACGGCACCACTGAGAAAACTATCCTCTGCCTCTCTTGTGGTTCTTTACTCAATACCACAGCAGTGTGACCCACATATTGGGCAGTGGTGATTTTTTGGAATCTCTGAAGGAACAGGTAAGATGTCACACACACTTCAATGTATTAAACGCAGAAAGACTCTCCGGGGCAGATGGTATACAGGTTTAATTGAGGATGCCTCTATTGCTCAGTTAATAAATACACCTCAACCTAAGCAAGTGCCACTAAACCCTTTATAACACACCCCACCATTAAGTATTCTGTTTATGCTGAACATTTTACAAACAAAAATATTTTAGGAATATTTTAGGCAGTTTAAAATAAAAACCGCATTGGTACCATTTTTCATATTGCTCCAACACTCAAACCTTAGTATCGTGAATCTCACTGAGGAGGGAGAGGAAAAATAAAACTAATACATTTTACTAACTTCTGCAAAATTACCTATCTAGTTTTTCCATGCATGGTAATGCTGTATGGTTGTGATGCAATGTCTGTGAACTTTCCAGGGTTGAAGTGAGGGCTATGTCCTATTGGAAGGCAAGGATAGAAGCCAGTGATATAAAGCTTTCCATTCTAGTTATGAGCCATTAGACCTTAAAACCACTATTTTTCCAGGACTGAATATTGCCCATCTCATTCCAGTGGCTAATTCAGCCAGCCCAAACCCATTATGATGAAGTCTTTATAGCCCCTCTCCCCACACATACTACTATTTATTCTTTTCCTCTGTAGGTATATGCTACATGAATCTATGTAGACACAGAAGCCATATCCACACTAGGATAAAAGGTGTATTTTTGATGTGTGTTAGCTTAAGCTGTAGGGCTCATCTCAACCAGTTAACTCATGTTAAAACTACAAAACAAGCATGGGAGATGCTACACACTTAAAGACATACAGATGTGCTTCAGATTCAATGACTAAACAAGGCCATGGTGTGGTTTTGTCTATTGAAAATTTAAAAAAAAATAAAAAAAAAAAACCCCCCCCCCCCAAAAAAAACAATAAAAGAATATAGTGTAAATTTGAAAGAGGTTTTTCAACATAGATAATTACAATAAACAGATGATTGTGATCATTTATATCGTCTGTTTGGAAACAATTGAAACAAACAACAACAAAATATACCTACTTCTTTTCTGGGAAACTTTGTTGGGAACTGAAGCCATTCATGTGCTGTTTTTCTGATAATGATAGGATCGAGTATCCTGATTTGGTTAACTTTATAGATCATTTTCAAGGCGGGTTTCTTCCAGAAACCATTAGTGTTCTGTAATAGTCAAATATATTGTTTTACTTTTAGGATTAGTTGATTTTGCTTTTGTAGCATCTCTAAGTCTAACTCACACATCATGCATTTGGAATGGGCAGAGAGGAGAAGCCACACACATGATTTAAAAAAAAAAAAAAAATTACAATAGAGTCTTTGATTTTTTACATTTCTCAAAATGTCACTGAGGATATAGAAGAATGGAGTTTCTTGTATATGAAATATCTACCAGTAGTGCATTTTTATGACCATATTATGAAAACCCGTATACAAGTTTGCCAGAAAGAAAATATTACACAGTCCTAAATATCTCTGACACAGCATAGGATAGTTAGAAAAACACTGGGCCCAATAATACCTTTGGATACATGGGGACATCTCCCCCTGAAGTCACCAGCACTTTCACCTATGTATCTGAAGGCAGAATTTGGCCTATACGATTTTGAGGCAATTTGGCTGATCAGTCGTATTTTCTGTACTTTGCTTGCTCGTTTGCATGGACAGGGGATTCATTTTGACTTTAGTTCCTTCTGCTGCTTACAGGGTTGCCCACTCTACCTTACAGGGTTTTCCCTATAGCCTATGCAGATTTATTCAAAATGATGCAAGTTACACCACATTTATGCAAATTCAGAATCTACTGATGTTTGCTTTGAGAATGTTGGCAGGTACTGTGCTTATCGCTCACGTTGAAAATGGAGTAACTGATTCTGATCTCACTTGAACTGGTATATACATCAGGAGTAATTCCACTGAAGTTTAATAAATTTTAAGGCTAGAAGAGGCCATTACGGTCATCTAGTCTACCTTCCCCAGTAACCCAGTGATTCCAGAGTAAGGGAGAGCAGAAACAAGTCTAATGTCCTTCACTTGAGACTCAATTTTTAAAATACCCCATGTCCTATAAAAAATTCTCCTTCTCCATCTGCCATGTAAATCAATTGTTCTCCCCTTCCATGATCCAGTGTGGAGCAAAAGAATTCTCATTTAGAGGGGAAACAGAGAGCAAGTGGGAATGAATACTTAAAAAAATAGAAATTGGGGCTGGGAGGGTGGGCGGTATCCTAAAACTATATGACAGGTAGAATGGTTTCAAAACAGAGGGTAATATCCTCAGCTGGTGTGAACTGCTGTAGTTCCATTCATTTCAATTATACTGATTGACACCAGCTCAGGCTTTGACCCAGAATATTTTCCAAAGTTTTTCTTGTCTTTAGCTAAATTGTAGGAACATAGCATGAGTTGTTCTGATATAAGCAAGCTCATGTAAATGTACAGTTCCATATTATAAACAAGATGTTGTTTAGTTTATTTCAGCACTTTATTTCTAAGGTTAGTATAAAGAGGTTGATGCATACACTCAGCCAAGGTAAACAAAGCCAAGACAATTTGAACCAAAACTAACTAACTAAATATAATAAATAAACAAACTTACTATTTTATGACCATTCAATATGTTCCAGAGCCACTTTAAGTCATGTGGTTTGAAGACAAGAAGAACTACAGTAGTGTCAGGATCATAGTGAATCGGATCTGAAAAAATAGACTCTGGATAAAAAAGTCGGAAAGTTGTCCTCTTCCCAACATCCCCTTCGTACCCTCTGACGGGACCATTATTCATTCTATAGGCAAGGGAAAAATAACATATACAAAGAGGATCACCATAAATCCATTCTGATGGGCTCTGCAGGGCAAATAGCACAAGGATTTAGCAGCATGACTTTTATTAATAATGTTAATTGGAAGATGTGCAGTTATACAGTTGATCCTGCATTGACAATTTAGCCCAGGGTCTTCAAATTGTAAGGAAATTTAGTCAAGAAGGTTCAGAATAAATGACAATATTCCTAACCATGCAGTCCTACTCCAGCAAAATTCCCTCTGACTTGGCCCATAAACTGGAACACTGTCTTAAAACTTCAGATTATCTAGTTCAGTTTAACTCAGTAGCAATTTTCTCCTAAATCATGATGGGGGAAGCCAGGCCCTTTGTTTTCTGGTTTCATTTGTTTAGTAATTGATAGCCAAGATGGGAGAGTAACAAATGTGATAGAGCTGGTCACTACAAAGCTAAACTGTCCTAGAGCAGACAACAGGATAGTCACCATGGCAATTCCCCAGGGTAAATCCATGTATACTTACGGATGGGGAAGTTGCTGGCTGGTGGTAACTGCTGGAGAGTCAGCTGAAGGTGGATTTGTGCTGGAGACACAGCTCAGAAAGAGGGGAAATTGGAGACAGTGTATTCTATATTTGGGTAGATCCTCAAATGAGGTGAAAACACCCCAAGGAAGACCTGGCGCGGATAGCTACGGATTAATTGCTGGAAGGTCCAGGTTCCAGAGAAGACAATACAACTCTCTAAGTGTTGGAGAAATGAAGGGAATTAATTCTCTTCTGTATCTTGACAGGATTCGGGTTCAGATTGTATCCATCATTTACCTAGTTTCAATTTAACCTATGTGGTGCATATATATAGTTTCTATTTTTTTAACTGATATTTGTACATGCTGAGTGACTGCTGCTCTGAAAGATACTGAATTAAAGAAAATGGGAGAGCCAAGATATTGGGGACTCTGTTCTGCCCTGAAGAGTTAAACAAGCTGACTAGTGGTGGTAGTAGTGGTATAAATCACCTTCGCAGATCCTTTACTTTGTGGCTGTCCTGTACTCTTTGGAACAATCTGCCAATCCCCACATGCTAAGAACTCTCCCAGTCCTCCTTAAAATCCACTGCTTTCACAAAATCTCAAGAAGATGATCTCCCCCACCATCATCTATGTCACTTTGTCTAAAACATTACACTGTGTATCACATTTGTCTGAGTTAGGCTGCAGACTCCTCAGGGCAGGAGCCTGGAAATGAATAATACTTAAAAGAAGAAAAGAAACTATGGAAAATGCTATTTGTTACAGATGGTTCCAGTATTTGTAGGACAGGTCCATGGTAATAAGTGAGTTCATTTTGACTCCAGAAGGAGAGGGGGCCTGAAAAAAAATTATGTACTGTAATATTAATGATTACTGTATATGCACATGTTGATTTTAAAGAGTCTTCGGCCTGGTCTACACTAGGCTTTTATGTCGAATTTAGCGCCGTTATATCGAATTAACCCTGCACCCGTCCACACCAGGAAGCCATTTAGTTCGACATAGAGCTCTCTTTAAATCGATTTCTGTAATCCTCCCCAACGAGAGGAGTAGCGCTAAATTCGAAATGACCATATCGAATTAGGCTAGGTGTGGATGGAAATCGACGCTAATAGCTCTGGGAGCTATCCCACAGTGCACCACTCTGTTGACGCTCTGGACAGCAGTCCGAGCTCGGATGCTCTGACCAGCCACACCCCGGGAAAATTTGAATTCCTTTTCCTGTCTGGGCAGTTTGAAGCGCAGTTTCTGTTTGGACACCGTGGCGAGCTCAGCAGCAGTGGCAGCAGTGGCAACGATGCAGAGCTCTCCAGCAGAGATGGCCGTGCAATCCAATAGAAAGAGGGCCCCAGCATGGACGGATCGGGAAGTCTTGGATCTCATCGCTGTGTGGGGAGATGAGTCTGTGCTTTCCGAGCTGCGCTCCAAAAGACGGAATGCAAAGACCTATGAGAAGATCTCTAAAGCCATGGCAGAGAGAGGATACAGCCGGGATGCAACGCAGTGCCGCGTGAAAATCAAGGAGCTGAGACAAGGCTACCAGAAGACCAAAGAGGCAAACGGACGCTCCGGATCCCAGCCCCACACATCTCGTTTCTACGAGGCACTGCATTCCATCCTAGGTGCGGCCGCCACCACTACCCCACCCCTGACCGTGGACTCTGAGGATGGGATATTGTCCGCAGCCGGTTCCTCAGCGGACGGGGAAGAGGAGGAAGGAGATGAGGAGGACGAAGCAGTAGACAGCGCTTACAACGCTGATTTGCCCGACAGCCAGGAGCTCTTCATCACCCTGACAGAGATCCCCTACCAACCCTCCCCAGCCGTTACCCCAGACACAGATTCAGGGGAAGGATCAAGCAGTAAGTGTTTTAAATATCCAAACATTTATTTACAACATAACTGGCATATTTAAAATATTAACAGTAGCTAAAGTGCTTTAAAACATGTAAACATTTATTTGCAACAAAACAGGAAGATTGAAAATATTAACAGTGGGTAAAGTGCTTCAAAACATGTAAACAGGAAAGTCAAACAAAAGGGGAATCAGTGCAAAGTGTGTCATGATTAGTCTGTCTTTGGGCGCCTCAATATATAGTCCGAACCATTTTCAAAAAATTGCACAATGTCCGCTTCATGATTATAGTGCCCAAAACCCTGCAGTCATTTGTCCCTCCAAGGGCACCTAAGCCAAGAACTGGTCAATGTAACCAGGGATAGAGGCGACATCCTCCAGGGAGAACTCCTCATACACCTCCTGCAGGTGTTTTTCCAGCCTCATCAGCAGGTTCCTGGGCAGGGAGAGCTTATTAGGCCCCCCGTGGTAGGACACGTTTCCCTGCCACAACGCCAGCAGGTACTCCGGGATCATGGCCTTGCAGAGCAGCGCAGCAAATGGCCCCGGTTTCTGCAAGCTGTCACGAAGCATCCGCTCCTTCTGGCTCGCAGAGACCTTCAGGAGGGTGATGCCTGGCATGACTCCCTGCTGTGAATTAGGTAGGGGAAAGTTAGTATTGGGACTGCTTGCCCGTCCCTTTACAGAACTGCAACCGCCGGTTTACAGCCACGCGGTTTACAGCCGCGAGGGGCTGGGACAGGGGCAGAGTTCATGCTTGCAGGATTGCTGCCAGCAGAGACTAGCATTGCTTTCTATGCGAAAGGAGGCCAGTGCCACTCTTAAAGTTTTAAGCAGCCACAAGTCTACGGCTTACCATGTTTGCCATCTAGACAAAGTCCGGTGTCCTGCCCTGCTCCTCAGCTCGCCACAGCAAGACCGCAGGCACGGTAGGCGAGGGCCGAAAATTCGACCTTGTCCTCAGTGCGCGTGTGATAGGTGCTCTGCATGGTCTTGTTCACAGAGAAAGACTATGTTCTCTGTTCACAGATACATTGATCTGTCTCAGGAATTCACTCCCTTTTTCCAATTCCCACAGCCACATCTGCCCAGAGGCTAGCGCACATTAGGAGGAGGAAGAAGAGGACACGGGAAGACATGTTTGCTGAACTAATGGCATGCTCCCGAGCACAGGCAGCCCAGCAGACACAGTGGAGGGAGAACTTGTCCCAAATGCACCGGGCAAACATTGAACGGGAGGAGAGGTGGCGACAGGAGGACAGGCAGGCTACTCAAACGCTGCTTGGACTAATGAGGGAGCAAACGGACACGCTCCGCCGCCTTGTGGATGTTCTGCAGGACCGGAGGCAGGAGGAGAGAGCCCCGCTGCAGTCTCTCTGTAACTGCCCTGCCCCGCCACCAAGTCCCATACCCCCCTCACCCAAAGTCCAAACACGGAGGGGTGGAAGGGGCCGTGAAAAATTTCACTCCACCCCTGCGGACTGCTCTACCACTAGAAGGCTCTCATTCCCCAAAATTTGAAAAGTCCTTTCCTACCCGCCTCACACAAGACCCCGTCCAAGTTTCACCCCCCCGTTCCATGTGCGGTTGTTAATAAAGAATACGTTTCTGTTCATTTCTGTTTCCATCCTCTTCTTTTGGAGGGGAGTCTGTCTGAAGGGGGGGAAGGGGCTTGGTCATTGGACAGGACAGTCACCTTTAGCAGGGGGCAGGTGCAGCAGCAGGGCACATATACAGTGCAGTGACTAGTTATCCTGGTCAGTCTGGGAGGTGGTTTTCATGTTCTGTGTGGTGGGGGGGGTGGTGTTGCTCTGTGACTTGGTGGCGTGGGAGGGCAGTTACAGATCTTATGCAGCGGTCCTTACCCTGGATCACAGAGCCGCGCAGCAGGGGATCTGTAACCCTCCTCCCCCTGCAAGACAGTCACATAGCCGACACATACACGCAGTCCCGGCCAGGAGGGCTGGCAGGCTCCGTTGAAACAACCAGTCCACCACCGCGGAGCCTGTCATTCCTGGAGTTTAGAAGCATCATTTGCATCACAACACTAAACCCGCCCCCCGCCACAGTCTGCGTCCCAGGTTTAAAACATTCCCGCGAAAACAGTAATAAAGACAATGGTGTCCATTAACAAAACAGAACAGATTTTATTTTTTGGGAAGGGGGTGAAGGGGGTATGTGATTGGAGAGGATAGTCGACGGCAACTGGGTAAAGAAATGGGGGCAAGTTCTGCTTCTGTGTCCACAAACTTAAAAGTCACTGGGTACCCTGCTCAGCCTTGAAACTGGCTTTCAAAGCCTCCCGTATGCACAGCGCGTCCCGCTGGGCTCTTCTAATCGCCCGGCTGTCAGGCTGGGCGTAATCAGCAGCCAGGCTATTTGCCTCAACCTCCCACCCCGCCATAAAGGTCTCCCCCTTGCTCTCACACAGATTGTGGAGCACACAGCAAGCTGCAATAACGATGGGGATATTGGTTTCGCTGAGATCACAGCGAGTCAGTAAGCTTCTCCATCTCCCCTTGAGACGGCCAAAAGCACACTCCACCACCATTCTGCACTTGCTCAGCCGGTAGTTGAAGAGTTCTTTTTCAGTGTCCAGGGCGCCAGTATAGGGCTT